TGTGTTTGACTGCAGTGCTTATTTATTTCACAATATAGTAACCCCTTTTTTAACTAGTGGTAGAGAAATGGCTTAGAATCTCAAGAATCTTAGAGATATCAGAGCCAAACTTCACAGTGTTCCTTTAAGTTTATCCTTCCACCATCCCATAATATACTGTGGAAAGAAACCACAACAACATTCTCTACTTAAGATTTCGAGCATCAAAAGTCACAGTTACATCAGTGTTTTCATTGGCAGCGCTTTACTATTGTTACAGAGTCATTGAGATAACCATCGAAAGCATGGCATGAGCTATTTCTAGATGAAAATAGAAGCGGTGCAATTCATCTTCTAAAATACAACTCTATAAACAAAGTCTGTTTTGGAGATTTTTCAGGAAGCAAGACACAACTTTGCAATGTGTGCAATTACTTTCACCTCCACTAACAACAATGGGAAGTCTCTGTAACTTTAAATCTCACAAACAAAGTTGTGGCAATATTTCCATCACTAAATTTCCCTCTCTCTACAGCAGGAAACTTCACTTGCTTTTTTTTTTTTAACTGCTCCTTTTATATTAAGCCCATACTTTAGAGGCAACAGAGCAGAATTTAGATTTACATCAAATGCTATTTACATTGCAGGGCTGTGAGTTTAAGACTTAAAAAAAACCCACTTTTATTCAAACATGGAAACTCTGTTCATAAGGGCCCAGATTCTATTCTTAAGTAAATATTACAACCCAAATTGGGGTATGCATTAATTGCAACAAATGTGTGAACTAAGCCCTTTTGTTCTTTTGTGTCAGTGGAGCCTTTGCCCTCTTTAGTAGACACAGAAATGTATCATGCAAGTGCATAAAAAGGCATCAAATAAGATATCTGAAATTTAATATTTTTTAGAAATGAGGAAATGGTGATTGAGGAAAGGAAGCAAGCAACCTATTTACTGCAACACTGACACATCTTGGAGGAAAACCAAAGACAGCAGCTGGGAATCTGCCTACAAATGAATGTTAACTGTGTTACTCTGCCTGCAGGGATCCCACCTGCCAGGGATCAAACTGAGGTCACTCTTCACCAATCTAATTACATACTTATATAACAATAACAGTTCTCTCAAAACAAAACAGAATAGTCCAACAGTTTGCCTGTATCAGCCCTATGACTGACATGATGTGGGGAAGTGAAACGTGATTATAAAATACCAGTCTATTCACTAACTTCCTTGTGATCATGCATCCGTTGCACATTAAGAGCATGACCAAGACACACGAGCTTTGTTTCCACACAGCTTTTAAGCCCTTTGTCTCTTCGAATCAGTGATAACTTGAAGATGGCCTTCGGTCTAGTATTCTGTGTTTAGCTAAAATCTTATTACATATCTCTAATTACCATGATGTGCACCCATATGTTATCTGCAGGTCATATGAAAATCTCAGTCCACAGATAAGTGCTTGCTTAATGGGAGAGCTGTTTATTCCATTTTGGTGCTTTTTAGTAATATGTCACATAGACACGAGCCTTTTTCGTTTACAGAAAATCTTATTAGTATGAAATATAAGAGAGACTGTTTTGAGATTAGACGATTAGTATGGACATCACCCTGAGGAAAAGCATCTGGTATCTGGTGGTAACACATCACGATGACCGCGTTGTTTAATTTGTTTATTTGGATTGTACAACAATTTAGGGCTTTACTGCCATTTGTTTAAAACACAACAAAGAGAAGATCAAAGAACCCTGCATAGTGCTTTTCGGTTGATAAAGAGACCAGTCCAGTGGTTTTGTGTCGGCAAATTTTAGGAATATGCTGAAACAGTGGACATTTAACATGCAGAAGGCTCTTCAGTAGGTAGGACAGAACTGAATATACAGTCCCGATCAGAAGTTTAAGACAACTTGAAAAATGGCAAAAAGTCATATTTTGCATGATTGGATCTTAACAAGGTTCCAAGTAGAGCTTCAACATGCAAAAAGAAGGAATCGGAGTGAGACAAAACTTTTTTTTGAGCATGCATTTTATGCAAACAATGCTTAAGGCCCAACAGCGGCTGCACTTCCTGAGGGTCCTCAGGAAGTACAAACTGAACTCCAACCTGCTGCTGATCTTCTACCACTCATCCATTGAGAGCCTGCTAACTTACTGCATCATGGTATGGTACGGCAGCTCCATTAAGGCGGATAGAGCGAGGCTTCAGAGTGTAGTCAAGACAGCACAAAAGATCATCGGCTGCCCTCTCCCCTCCCTGATGGATATTTATTTCTCCCGCTGTTTCAGCAGAGCAGCAAACATCATCAAGGACAGTTCCCACCCTGGTTTCAACATGTTCAGCCTGCTTCCCTCAGGGAAGCGCTACAGCAGAAAAACCCACAGACTCAAAAACAGTTTCTTCCCAAAGAATATAACCACCCTGAACTCACACATGCACCGGTAACCCCCTACCCCCCATTTTTCCCCCATTTCCTCTATGAACCACCACTGTGCAATACCAAATTCTATGTGCACTAACCCAATTGAATATACATAACACTATTTGTTACATATTATTTTTTAACACTGGCATGTATATTTGTACATTTTAAGTATTTTTTCTCTGTTAATAGTGCCAATATGTATATGGTGCTGCAGAACATCATCAGAGATTTAAGGCTTATTTTGTACCAAAATACCGTGAGTTGGGATAGAACAAATCTGCATTTTACAATACTCTCTGACTTGTTGGATTTTACCTGTTTTACCTGACTATTAAGTAACATAACATTTAATCTGACATCTTTGTGTAAAATTGCTTTTATCCACCAAATGGAAACCTACTATGCAAAGATAACCATCTGTTCAGGCGATGTTGATTACCCTAATGATATATTGCCATAATGCCCAGTGAAAATGCACTTCTAAAGAAATTGGCAGCTTTATTCACTGCAATAATTATCTTACGGGAAATATTACAAAGTGCCGTAAATGGATTCTTTTGTCTCTGCACTTCAGTGGTGTAAGGAACTCTCTTCCCAACAATACTAATGGGACGTGTATCCATATTATATTCCTCAGAGATATTGCTCCATATTGACATGATAGCATCACACAGTTGTTGCAGATTTGTTGGCTGTAGTGCATCTATGATGCAAATCTCCTGTTCCACCACATCACAAAGATGCTTTATTGCAGGGGTGTCCAACTCCAGTCATCGAGAGCTACTGCCCTGCAGCTTTTAGATGCATCCATACTCCAACGCAGCTGAATCAAATGGTTGAATTACCTCTTCAGCATGCCATGAAGTTGGGCAAAGGGCTGGTAACAAGCCATTCATTTGATTTAGGTGTGTCGGAACAAGGACGCATCTAAAAGCTGTAGGACAGTAGCTCTCGAGGACTGGAGTTGGACACTCCTGCTCTGTTGGATTGACATCTGGTGACTATAGAGCTCATTTGAGCACACTGAATTCATTTTCATGTTCAAGAAACTAATTTGAGATGATTTTAATTTTATGACATGACAAGTTATTGTACTGGAAGCAGCAATCTTAAGCTGGGAAAATTGCAGTCATAAAGGCGTGGACATGGTCAACAATGAAATTCCGGTAGGCTGTGATGGATCGCAGCAGATGGCCGCCCCTCCCTGAGCCTGGTTTTGCCTTCCTATTGTCGCCAAAGTGTTTGCTCATAGGGGGTCATTTGATTGTTGGGTTTTTCTCTGTATGTATTATTGTAGGGTCTACCTTACAATATAAAGCGCCTTGAGGCGACTGTTGTTGTGATTTGGAGCTATATAAATAAAATTGAATTGAATTGAGTTGAACCGTGTAATTTTTTTCCAGTCTTCTGTGGTATAGTTTACAAAATGTAACTTCAGTTTGCCTGTTCGGAGAAGTCGCAGTCGGTGTGGTCTAGCCCATCTGCTTCAAGTTTTGATGCATTGTGCCTTCAGAGATGCTCTTCTGCATACACTATTTTGTATAAGAAGTGTTGACTTGAGTTAACTTTGCTTTTCTAACAGCTCAAAGCAGTCAATATGTTCTTATCCTTTCACATCTGGCATCAAAAAAGCATTTTTGCCTGGAAAACTGCAGTTCACTGGATATGTTTTTTCTTTTTCAGAGCATTCTCTGTAAACCCTAGACATGGTTGTGTGGGAAAATCCCAGCAGATCAGCAGTTTCTGAAATATATATGAACAGCGCATCTGGCACCAACAACCATGCCACATTTAAAGTTACTTGAAAGACCCTTTTTCCTCATTCTGATGCTTACTTTGAACTTCAGCAGATTGACTTGACCATTAAATTGCCGAGATGTCACTGGCTGCGTTAAGAACCAGAATTAGCTATCTAGTGAGTATATACATCAGGTCAGAAAATATTTAACATGTAAACATGAACTATGTCAAGCCACAACTGTTTAGTTTTGTAAGAACTTACTAAGAGGCGTACATGGGACAAAAAGTGCCTGGTTTTATTCAAATCCATATCACGGAAAACTGTGTAACAGATGCACCCGTCTGCCATGTCCATTTCACGGTTTGCCTCTCGAAAGCGTGAAATGGAAACACATGCAGAAGTTACAGTACATGCAGAAGCTGCAGTACCAGCATGAGGAGATAACATATTTAAAGCCTTTTGCGCCCTTTTTGTTTGTCCCCTGCAGCCCCTTTTTTCTCTCTTTCTTTTGGTCCCTTTTCTTTTTCTGTTTCTCCACCACCTTCTCCTGTTTTTCACCAAAAACAGGCCTTCAACCCTGTGTACGCTCTGGTATAATACCCACTCTGACAATAATGTGAATAATGTAATAAACAAAAGAAACATGATTAACAAGATGAGCCTAGAGTCTACAGTCTACTTTGGATATTAGTATGGCTTGTTGCATGTTACTAGTGCATCTTTGAATAAGGTGCAACCCAGACCGACAGACAGGGAGCATTCAGACTGAATGTGAAATGAGAGAAGTGAGGGTTTTTTGCCATGCCTTCTTTTTTTTTTGGTGACATCACTTTAATTACAGTTTCCTTTAGGAGCGTGAGGCAGAGACAGGCAGACTAGAGTGGGGGAGTTAACTGTTAACAGTGCAGCAGGACATCTGAACATAGGAAAATGACTCTTAGACCTACAAGGTATGTATGAATCAAATATACTCTATATATTTTTAAATCTTTCATGTGAGATATAACCAAAAAAAATCCCCTAAGAATGGAGAACAATTTTCCAATTGTTTTATTTTTTAAAATCATTTTGTCAGTAACCATGTGCTCAAGCAGGTTAAATATACTCCAATGTGTGTAAAGCAGGTAATACAACTACTGATAGCTGACAGCTGCTGTTAAAATGAACTTCTTGCCTTTGTTGTTACAGCGAGTGAGACTTAAAAAAAAAACCATGTCTTTTTGGGTGTAATGTAGAGTATAGAAGTATAGAGTTACATATCGACGATGACCAGAAGAAGCATCTTTTTCTCTTTATTTTGTTTTTCATTTATTCTTTTTTGTTGTACATTAAAACATCAGTTGTACTACATGATATGAGAGCTCAGGTTTTGCCTAAGCATGTTCTTCTAAAGACGAGTTTAATCCATGTCAAACATTTGGTTATTTTAACCAACAGAAGCTTCTGCCCTCCATTGTGCCGTCTGCCACATTGCTGCCAAGTGCTCCTTACGCCAACAGAAACAAACTTTGGAGCAACTTTCAGTAATTTTAATTGCTCTTAAACATTCACACACGTGGATGTAAGCATAGGGTACATACAGTATGGTTTGAAAGAACAGATTGCCAATTAGGTAACATGATAGGGGAATTAAGCAGAAGCATAAACAACATTATGCTATGCCTGATGCTCACCGTACATTAGTGGAACAAGGTGGTTCAGTCTCAGACAAGCTTATATAATTTTTGAGTGCTGCAGATGTGCAAACACCCTTATTGTTCAACAATTTCTTTATGTTTTAAGCTTATCCTTTGGTTCAATACAAAGGTCATAGCTGCAAAGTAGCTTGCTCCACAACCAGAAATGTATTCATCACGTTTATTACAGGCTTTCATGTTCAGCTCTGTTCTTGTTGAAACAAGAGGCTAAGTCAGTGGGTGGAGATTTCTTCAGCAATCAACTAGTTGGAAAACTGAACCTGGTCGACAGAGAAAGAATGACAAACAGCACACAATGGATGTACAGTTAGGACATCTGTTCATTAACATGCTTATTTACTTCTTTTCTTAGAATAAGATAAGAAGAATGACATCAGTTTCATATCTGTATGGTAAATATTGTATGTAGCAGGGCAACTGTTGGGTTTGCAGAGACGATAGCCAGCTAAGTGCTGGCTAAAGCTCCATATTTATCGCATTGGTATTTTACATAAACTCAAGGTAAGAACCTAATGTACTGTTGATGTTTAACTGCCTATTTACTTCATGTCTCATTTTGTCTTTACAGCATCCCAGACTACAGCACCACTATATCATATGGAAACAATAACAACACCAATGAGACTCATTGTCCAGATCACGAACTATGGGAGTGGCTCACTGCACACCAACCAGTGTACATTCTGCTCATCACCGTGCTGGGAATTATGCTTAACATGTTCGTTCTGACTGTCTTCTGCTTCCACAAGAAGGCGTGCACCATAGCTGAAATCTATTTGAGCAACCTGGCTGCTGCTGACCTAGTCCTGGTGTCCTGTTTGCCCTTCTGGGCCGTTAACATGCTCAATGATTTTAAATGGCCTTTTGGTCATTTCATGTGCAAAGTTATCAATGTGGGAATTAAGATGAATGCCTACTGCAGCATATACTTTCTTGTTCTGGTTAGCATCGATCGCTATGTGGCGCTGGTACATGCGATGTCACATGGAAGAATGCGTAGTCCAAAATATGCTAAACTAGGGTGTCTGCTGACATGGGGTTTTGGCTTGCTTCTGAGTATACCCGTGTTCATCTTCAGGGAAGTGAGATATTTCCCTGAATATGGTACTGTGTGCTATCTAAACTATCCAAACCACAACGTACAAGTTATCTGTGATGGGATATTGATCATTTTTAGCTTTGTTATTCCCATTTCAATTATCTCCTTTTGCACTTTTAATATTATTCAGGCTTTGAAATTGCAAGCAATTGAGAGGTTCAATGCTGAAAACACAGAACGAAAGGCCACCATTTTGGTCCTGGCAGTCCTTGTAGCCTTCCTAATTTGCTGGGTGCCATTCCATGTAATCACCATAGTAGATGTGCTTTTACGAGGTGGGATACTGGAAGGCTGTCACCTTGAAAATGCTGTGGACATCAGCATCCAGATCTTCACCTACTTAGCCTTCTTGAACAGCATTCTTAACCCGATCCTATACGTTATTGTAGGAAAGAACTTCCGGAAAAAAGTCAGAGAACTCTTCCAGCAGTGGGGCCACCAGAGGAAAACCTTATCTGACTCCACACGTTCAAACCTGTCCTCCACATTGAAAACTTCTGTATAAAATGCTGTATGCAAATTGCTTTTTGCAAACAAAAGCACAGAAGGATAGTGGGCAGTCATTTAATGATATTGTCTTAAACTAAATGGTTCAAATGAAATCTAAAATCAAATGAAGTTCGTGAAATCGCAGTGGATGTAGCTTTGTAATAATCAGACTTAATCATACATTGTTAAGAAACCTTTTAACGAACTCTTTCTTTAGTATGTTAGCTGATGCACAACGTCTCACTGTTACGTTTAGAAAAGGTGGTTGTATTACAGATTACTACCAAATGCAAAACACTGTTGTTTAGCTTGAACTGGAAAAAAATGAAGACATATTTTATATATTGCAACAACTCACCAGTGTGTGATATTGTTGGATTCATATATTACAAACTGTAGTAGTCATCAGTATCTTGGCTGTACTGGTTCTGTGATGTAAATATGTGTACTGTAAAATAATTTATGTAAATACAACTTTTTTGTTATAAAGTTTATTGCTGAAGATGCAAATGATGCCACTATTTGTTTCACTCAGAGCATAACGATGAATAAAATCAACATGCGGTCTTTCGCTTTATGAATCTTTATGATGCATTTGAATGTTAAGTTGAACATCCAAAGGTTCATGTTGAAACAGCGTCTTGCTAAGTGTTTCTGGTGTTTCTGACTCAGAGTTTCCAGACTTAAACATGTGACTCTTTCAACAAGTTTCCAGTTGTGACGCACAAACATGCTTCTTTTTGTTGGCTGTATAGACATAACTTTTTCTTTTTTTTTTATTGTATATCTGTCCCCCAAACCACCTTTTAATTGCCAAGTGTTTACTCAAAATGGGTTGTGGGCAAGGGTACACCCATAGGTGTCCTCAAAATGAAGGCAAATCTTGCCAAGCAGGATATCAGGCTTCACCACAATTGCTAGTGCTGAAAATTGTTGTGGAACAAAAGGCATGCAGAAAAAGTTACCGCAAATTGTAGAATGTCTGCCAGAAAACACACAGTTCAACCTCGTTTTATGTGTTTTTGTCTGCTTTTTAAAATGGTTTTAATTTTGTGATTTTTAGCCTTGTCCTTCAAATCTGAAATCACTCCCACATTCATGTTCAAAGTTCATGTTATTCTGGTTTATGTTGTGCTACTAAATGGGAATATTAATTAAAATTTTGACTATTCTGTAAACACCACAGTGGGGGATGACAGTCACTGAAGAGGTTTTAGTGCAGATGCCTCATTCATGTTTCCATAAGACTTCACAGACTGTTTAATAAACATGGACACAGTCAATATGACTTCACCCTGTTAGTGAAGTTCTGTTATGACACCTGAAAGTGAACACTTTCGACACCGTTTTCTTGGTGATTTGAAACCATGCGTCATAAACACTGGTTAAAGACTTGTGTCTGTCATGGTGCTAGGTCGTTGACCCAGCATTTTGTATTTTATGATTATTTTTCTATGTTCTAGTTATTCTGATTTTGGTATTTTGTGTCCTCCCCTTGTGCCCTGTTCTTGTTCTGGATTTCCTGTTTTATTTTGAAGGTCTGTGTGTGTTGTCATTGTGTTCAGCTTTTATCCTCCAGTCGTCTTTGTGTATTAGGATCAGCTGTTCTTCCCTCCTGTGTGTGATTACCTGATTACCTTGTGTGTGTATATATAGTGGGTGTCGGTCTGTGCTTGTTGTTGGTTCGTCTGCGTTCCATGGTGTTCTGCAGCGCTCTGCCCCTCGCCCTGTTTTGTATGATCTCAGGTTTGCTATTTAGTTTTCCCAGTTTAGGTTTCTTCAGTTATTTGTCATCCCTCATTGCCTGTTTTGCCACTCCGCCACTTGTAAATAAACGTCACTCGTATCATCAGTCACTGCCTGCATTTTGGGTCCTTTTTCCTTCAACGCCACACGGCTTGCCTCGGCAGCCGTGACAGTATCAGTGAGCAACTCTACTAAGGACTCCCTTTTTTTTAATTCACTTTGACAGAAAACTGAGGGGAAAACATTTATTGAGGTCACACAGCAATGGTACTAACTGGAATTACAATGCAGCTAAGGGTGTTGCCCCCTGCTGTCCGATAAAAAGAATGCAATCATATTTGGCTCAACTTTCAAATCACAAAGCTCATTTTGGCTTTTAAGTGACAGTGTGTAAAATCTCATCAGTAGATGCCAGTAGATTGCAGATTGTAGTCAAATGAATTCAATTTCCTTAACCCTTCCAAGTAACATACATAATCCTAGAAGTGGTGGTCATTGTAGGACAAACATGTTTTAGTCAGGCAAGAGAAACATTAAATTTAGACTGTGCACCTGAGCAACCATGGCTGCTTGAAGTGTTTCTAACACTGTTTATGTAAAAAGCCTTGTTGTACCCACTATATTTTACCATATTTGAATAATATCAGCATGTAGCAATGAATCAGGAATAATACTGCATGACTCAATTAAATATTTTGTGGTATTTTGCATTTTTACCACAGAGTGATCACAGAGACTAGCTGCTGTTCATTCGTGGTAAGTGTAGTAAGATAGCAACATGACTCCCGCTTCTGCCCCAGTCTTTCGCTGTTTTGGTAGGCTGTCAGTCTACTCTTAACTTAGCTATCAATATGTAGCTTTAAGAAATGTAAAACTTTGAGACTGATATGAGTCACCGACTCAGAGAAATTAACCTCTCCCTCTGATGAGCGAATATTGAGGTGGGTTGTTTAGGACATTACTGTTACGGCTGGCTGCCGGCGAAGCTCATGGGCGCGTCACTGCAACTCCCCCTGGCTTCTGCTCCACGGCTGCTGAGTGAGCCCTCATCTGGGACTCTCCTCAGCTCTTTCTGGGACAGTGGCGCGGCTGCCCCTCTGTTGGTCTTCCTTGGTCTCTTGTGTTCTGGGGGCCTCTGGATGTCTGGAGTTTTGATCTCCTCCATACCTGCTTCATGCCCTGGAGGACGGGGCTGTGGCCCCCCCACACCCTCTAGCAGATTATTACATGAAGGAACCTTTTAAAAAAAACAAAAAAAAAACAAGCGCGTCCATGCTCACAGGTGTACACACGGGTGATCACACCCACAAACTACACCCTTTTTGGCTCCTACCTCAAAGCACACTGTGTTCTGTTGATCTTATGTGCTGCACAATAATGTTTAACATTTAGTATTTACTGTCATATTCCCATATATCATTGTGATGTTGTTTATTCTATTACTCTTGTTCTCTTCTGCTTTTTTTCTTTTTTCTTTCTCAGCAGATGATCCAGGTGATTGATATATGCATTTTTTTTTCTCTGCCCGTTCTGTTGGTTTTTGTCTTTTGCCCTTCTCCCCCGTCCCTCTTCTCAGCTGTTTCTCTTTCCCTCTTTCTTTCTCCCCTTCTTTCCCCCAGTCAAGTCTGTCCCGTATTCAGTAAGTGAAAATAAAATAAACAATAAAAGGTGAATCAAATGGACCATTACGGCAAGGCTGGGATGGTCAATTTGGTAAAGTAAATCCGTTGGGCATCTTTGTTTGCCTTTAGACAACAATTCTGATGGCAAAAGAGCCAAACGGGACAGGCAAAAAAAAAAAAAAAAAAAAAAAGGACATTACTGTTGGCTGCTGTTAGCCTCTGTTAGCCATGGCTAACTGCTTTTAGATGGCATAAGTGAAGCTTTCATTAAACTGGATATAACATTGTTGGACTTTGATACTTAGTTAATAAACTCTCATATGATGTAAAATATAGTCAAGCTATTTAGCAGAAGTAAAGTATGATTTTTAGGACGCTCAAGCCTAACATTAACTGACATAATGTTAGCTTATAACCAGTGACTGCGCTGGTCAGCACGTTGTCACCTATATGGAGACATCTAATCTGCTGACAATAATTAACTGTGAAAATATTGGGAATAAATAAATATTATGTGTGTTTTTTAAGTGTTGTAGCTCTAACTTCAGTTCAGGAGATAAGGCTCAAGGTGAAGTGGATGACATTTCATTAAGATGCAAGTGGCTTTGGCTTTTATTCTTAATTGATGAATACTTAGTACAAGAGAATGTTTCAGTTTGGTGTTGGATGTAATTACACACTAATCATTGTATATTTATACAATATTCTTTTTATTTTACTAAATAATCCCACAAAAATGACTGACTGTACTTTTAACATGCAACATATTTTTGTGGCCTTCCTTTTGCAACACTAGAAATGCTCATTACTGAATTGGTTGCTAAGACGGTCTACTTTGAAGATGGCATGTGTGTAGTGTGTGTTTTGGCTGATAAAGCATCCATTAGCCACACTCCATTAAATCAATTATCCCCTCTCCCTAAGAACTGAAATCATGGGACAAAGGTAATGATACATGCATCAAACCGCCGCTGATACACTAAAAGGTTAGACTAGAGTATATATTTGTTGTGAACATGCTTTTTTTGTTTTCTACTTTTTGAATCACTGTCACCATCCAACAGCTTTACCAGTTGGCTCAGACCCTCCAGCTGAGTTACTTATGGAGAACAACACAACAGCTGAGTTTGTCTGCAACCACACGGATGCATGGGAGTGGGTTTACACCATGCAGCCTGCCTATATGTCGATCATCTGTCTTCTGGGAGTAATCGGCAACTCCTTCGTGCTTTGCGTCCTCTGTCTTCAGAAGCGCAGAAGTTCTGTTGCTGACATTTACCTGAGCAATCTGGCAGCAGCTGATCTCCTCATGGTTTCCTGTCTGCCGTTCTGGGTATCAACTATAATCAACAAGTTCCACTGGAGATTTGGGGAGTTCATGTGCCAGCTTGTCAATATTGTCATTGGGATGAATTATTATTGTAGTGTGTTGTTCCTTACTGTTGTGAGTATGGACAGATATATGGCTCTCACTAAACCATTGTCCCAAGGAAGGCAGAGGCAGGCTTTCTGGGCACATGGAATTTGTGTAACCATTTGGATTGTTGGTATCTTCCTCAGTTTTCCTGCTGTTCTTTTCCGCTCTGTGCAGTTCTTCCCCCATCTGGGCATTGATGCATGCTACCTAGACTACCCCCATGAAGGGTGGCGATTGCGGTACAACATAACTGTGAACATAGTCTGCTTTCTCATTCCTGTCCCAATTGCATTGTTCTGTAGTTACCACATTATTAAAGTCATTCTAAAGAGACAGAAGATGAGAAGAAGCAACAGCGGGAGTGCGGAGAGGAAGGCAGCATACCTTGTGCTTATTGTTTTGGCTGTGTTCATTCTCTGCTGGCTGCCTTACCAGATTCTGATCTTCTTTGACACCTTGGATCACTATGAGGTCATCTCTGGATGCACGTGGGCATACGTGCTGGACATTGGCAACCAGCTAGCTACGTACCTTGGCTACAGCAACAGTGCATTGAATCCTTTCTTGTATGTGATTGTTGGGAAGAACTTTAGGGAGCGGGCAAGGGAAGTGTTTAAACCCCTTCAATGCAGGAGGAAAGACCAGTGTGAGGCATCTGGTCATGGTAATGCCAATCTCATCTCAAGTAAACAAACAGAGAGCACAAAAATCTAAATGAATTTACATATAAAGAGTAAACTCTTTTTAAAAATATTTGTGTCTGAATTGAATTTCATGTATTAATATATTTTATGTTGTTGGATTAGGGTCTAATAAGAGGGCCTGCCCTGGCCGTTGAAGCTTAGCTTTACTTTTTAATTTTTGTTTTTAAATTAGTGTTTCATTTTCCAATCAATTAAAGCTTCTCTTGTGTGTCTTACACCCACACAAATGACGGTAAACTCAAAAGGTTAAAAGTTACTTGTGTTACGGTAATCCTTTGCATGCTAAAAGCAAAAAATAAATCTCTATGACAACATCTGTAAAACAAATTCAAGCATGTCGAAAACGGATCTTTTCACATTCTTGGCATGTTTGTCCACAACCACTTGTTTCTAGACAGTAGGAATTTCTCTTAGCAGCAAGCTAAAACAAGTCCTTCTGGCATGTACCCCTACTACAAGCTTAGTTTGGTTCTTATTCTTGGGAGGACCGATGTGCAACCTGTAATTTAGGAACCTTTTTTGAACTGTAACCAGCTTAGTAAAACTTTAATAAAGTTGTTCTTGAACTGCACTGAATCAGTCATCTTTACGTTTTTATTGGTCAAACCCTTGATTAAAGCAGAAGATAACTTTTGAGGTTATAAAGAGTGCTGACACCTTGTAAGAGAATGTGATATGGGGGCAACTGGCTGAACTTTTTCTCTCAGGAACTAAACAAACCAAAAGTTACCCCAGTGAGAAGCATGAATTACAGGAAAGGCTGTGACATGGTAATGGTTGCATCTATATTATTTCCAAAGTATACACCCTCCCTGTGACAACTCCAAACTACAATATTTTATATATGTTTTAACATTCTAAACTGAACAAACAAGTAAAAACAACTTTAACAGAGGATGTTAGAGATGATGAGAAGTTTAATAATTGTTGTGCAGAGACAGACGAAATCTTTCCCACTATTTCTAAATAGTGGGAAACCAAATATCACTAATTTCTAAAATGTTGAAACTGAGGGAAACAGTTGACTAATGTTTGCCATAATTCTGTATTGTTTAAAGAGAGGCAGGGTGGCTAGATAAAAAAAAAAAAAAAAAAAAAAAAAGCCTAATTCTGGAAGCAAACTGGTGTTTATCCATTTTGTCTATAAAAACACTGGGCTTTGCTTTTTTGAATGGTCCCATGTGTTAAATTTGGCATTTACAAGTAATCAAAGTCACAAATGTAGGACAGATATATAAAACTGACTAAGCAAGGAATGTTTGGCAAAGAGCTGATCTTCATCTTCATTTTGGTATGCTGCTGTCATTTTTACCATAAAAGGGATTGCACAATCTCGGACATACTGATTATTAGATAACCCTTCATCTAAGTCTTCCAAGTACTGATTATAGTTTACATTAACTCCAGTGTGATTTGAAGTTGGTTTAATATTTGTTATTGTTGTCATTACCATAACTTTAAATTTAGAACATATCAGAACTGGATGATGTACAAGCTGAGGATAAAACTGATAAATCTGTTTTTATAGCATTTGGAAATCATTACCGGTCTAAAGATTTCACTGTTTATACAGTTAATACAATCACAAATGAAAAAAGATGAAAAAAACTAAAGGTTTTATTAATGATATCTCAACATCATAGCAAACAGAGAGGTCCAGACAGGGAGTAATGCTGTAATTTCCTGAATCAGTCATATCTTTATAGGACTGTTCATAAGCTTTGAGATACTCTGTCATTTCTTTATATTTTGCTTCCAAGGAGCAAGACTTTCTTGGAATTAAAAAAAAATCTCTGACCTCCCCTGTATCATTTATGAAGAGATATGACACCTCAATATTTATCAATAAATATGTGGATTGGCACCTGTTTAGCTTAGTGGGTGAGCAGACGGCCATATGCCGTATGGCCGGCCCTTGGCTGCCTGTCTTGCCCCCTCTCTTTCCTGTCTCTCCTATTTCCTGTTGAATAGTTTTCTTTATCCAATAGCAGCCTTGGGAAGCCATATAGACAGATAACCCTCACTAACTTCTGATGTACACCTGGTCATTTTGCTTTGAAATATGACAGGAACCACATAGTGCAGGGAATAGAGTAGACTAGGGTACCCAGTGAGGTACAGCTGATTACACAATAACTGAACTGAAGCAGTGTGGGATCATGCTGACAAACAACAGAAAAATTAACATCCCAAGAAGAGCGTTGAGTGTCTTTCAACAAGACTAGAGAACTATTCCTGCAGACTAGTTAAAGAAATTACAAGTAAGCTCGTCTGAAAGATTTCAGGCTGTGTTAAAGATTATAAGTGGTCATACCAAATAAAAGACATTCAAGTTCATTACAATTGTACAACAAAGCTTTTTATTTAAATACTGTTATTTGATTAATGCTTGCACAGTGAATCAGTGCACTTCCAATTTTCCTAGAAGATGGAAAATTACAAGGAGTGGCTCGACCCTTTTCCACAAGTACATTTTTCCATAGACCATGACGAAAGATGTTAGGTAAACGTTGTGTATCTACTGAGTTTTTTGTGCTTTTTTGGGTTAGTCTGTTAGTGTTTATTACCTTCAGCCTGTTTTTGTTTTTTGTTTTTTTAGTTATAGTTTAGATTTTCACATTTGTATCTTTCTGCTTAGTTTGTTCTTAATTCTGGCCATTTTGAGCTTTATATGCTAGCTTATTTCTCTTCATGATTTTATTCTCAGTCCGTCTCCTTTTTGTCATTTACAACCAAAGCTAATTCCCTGAGTTTGTTTTTGCTGCCCTCCTGTGTTCTCTGTGTCAAATCTGCATTCCTGTTTCCTGTTTATAGCATAACTAAAGTTGGTTCGGTTGACTAAACAATTAAGTGTAAAAGTTGGTTGTGCTGTTACTGGTGAGAGCTGCTCTACATGATTTTAAAAGTGTCTCATTTTCCTTGATATCAAATGCAAAATGTGTCTCTATGTCTACTGTTGCCTTCCTCCCCAGTGTTGATAATTTGTAGTGTTTTCATGAGAAATAGAGAGCATGGGAGCTAACTAAACCCCACCTACCATAGTTCCAGGTGGCAGATCAAGCGTGTGCATCTAACCTTATTGCCCAAGGAGATTACTTCTGATTGGATCACTCACCATCTTGCCCCCCCCTTTCCCCACTACTTAATTAGTTCTGATTGGATCTCGTCTCTCCAGAACATATTTATGACAGTTTTAATCCCCATGCATTATTTTTATTTAGTTATTGTCTTGTTTTCATCAGACAAAAAATGTTCTTTGGTAAAAACTGTGATGAAAATTATTGATAAATAACATTAAGACTGGTCCTGCACTGTTTCTCTAGGTGTGGGCCTCCTTTGTTTTGTATTATAGTGTGAGTGCAGGATTAAAGCAGTTTTTTCTTATTTATTTCTGTCTTTTGTGTTCAGCATTTTGGTCCAAATCCAACAGTATCATGACATAAATAATTGTTAAAGTTTAAATAAAACCCTGCTTTCTTTGGTATATGTCATTAGTTTCTAACTATCTGTGATAATAATAGTAGTATTTTCACACACTATGAACTGGAATGTCCAAAGTCTGCATTTTCTCTCCAAGACATGCTACATTACGCCACCGTACTCCACTGCAGTTTTAGCTGCTGCTCATAAATGAGCACCGTCCAAATTTTGACTCTTTGATAAACAACTTGATATATTCAACTAGTGGTGTGGAAGAATGCAACTATATACAAAACGCCCATAGCAGCCTCGTTGTGTACTTTACCAGGAGCCCGTGAGCACAGTTAAGCCCATCTCAGACGTGTTATCTGTTATTACAACTTTGACCATCGGAGTAACATTTTGGTGAAACATACGGTAAGAACTTTTTTAATTCCTTTTCAGTATTTGATGCTTAAAAGAAAAACAAAATAAAATGTGGCAATCAGTCTTTTCAAAGTAGTCATCCACTGATTAAATTAGAAGAAAAGATGCAATACACAACACAGAAGATCTACCTGTGATTTTTTTTTCTTGGCTCTTGAGTGTTTTTTAACACAGAAAAATAATCATCTTCCTTTTCTGGGGCTGTTTGCTTCCTCCCCAGAGCTGAACTTTCTTAACTGGATAAAAGAAAGTCATAAAATTAGCCACCCATTGATTGTTTATATAAGCTGTTTTATGTTCAGTTCCTTGTTTAGCTTCAAATTTGAATTCCTACATTTCTTTAATGATGGATTTTAAATGGTTAGCTTTAATCTTTAATGATAACATTGTACTGAAGGTTTATGAATATTTATTTTTTCCTACTCAGTGGAGCCAATGGAACTCACAACTGTGCCGACAGTGTTGGCTGAAAATAGCAGCTTGTCTCCAGTCACTGCAGAATGGGAGCTTATCCACACCATCATCCCCCCATACATCTTCACCATATCCCTGGCAGGTCTACTCTTTAACAGCTTTGTGCTGGTGGTGTTTTTTGCCCACAAAGATCGACTGACTGTAGCAGAGATCTATCTGAGCAACATGGCGCTGGCTGACTTTATTCTACTGTGTAGCCTTCCTTTCTGGGCAATGAATATCCTCAATGAGTTCAACTGGCCATATGGAGAGGCCTTGTGCAAAATCGTCAACGCCCTAATCATCATCAATTTCTACACCAGCATCTTCACTCTGGTCATGATTAGCATCGATCGCTATATAGCATTTGTGAAGCCCATGAAGGCCAGCTGGCTGAGACGGACGCTCTACGCCAAGGTGATCTGCTTCATCCTGTGGATATTAGGGGTCTTACTGAGCACACCGACAATAGCTCACAGAAAGGTGAAGTTCTTTGAGGACTATGAGACCACATCCTGCGTTCTGGATTACACCCATGACAGCTATTGGAAGCTGGCCCATCAGATTGTGATAAATGTGGTGGGCTTTGTTCTTCCTGTTTTGGTCATTGTTTTCAGCAGTGGAAATATAATCAAGGTTTTATCTGAGAGGAGGGAAAGTGTTGGTTTTCATCACACCAGTGATAAAAAGGCCACTGTGCTAGTGTATGCTGTTACACTGGTGTTTTTACTATGCTGGGGTCCCTTCCAGGTAATTACCTTTCTTGACATTCTCTGTGATGTCAATGTGCTGGATGAGAAGCTGTGGTCTGACTCTCTGGATATAGGAAGGCAGCTCTCAGCATATCTAGCCTTTCTCAACAGTGTCTTAAACCCTTTGTTGTATGTCTTCTCAGGGCAGTACTTTAGAAAGAAGGTTAGCGCCATCTACAGAAAGACTAGATATCAACGCAGAGGATCAGACATGACCACATATAAACTCTCTGCTGTGTCCACTTACATCAACAGAACAGAGCAAATTAAACCTGTGGTCATTGTTAATGCCAAAGAATAAAATGTGTCTCATACTGATGGCATCTACTTTTCTTTTGCTGCTTATGTATAAAATGACCAAAAAAAAAAAGGATATGTTTCTAAAACTATTATGTCATTAGACTTAACACAATAATAATGCTGTTATGTGGCTAATCGGCACTATCAGATTATGTTTATTGCTGTGCATGAGGAAATAATATAAGTAATGGACAGACACTGCAGGAGAAATAGACTGAAATGCATTTACAGTCTGCATAATGACATTTTTGTCTTGCATTGTGGACAAACAGCATCTGTTTCTTTGACATGTTATATGGATTTATAGCAACAGACTTCTCAGTTTAACTTTGTTTGTCTTTTACGTCTTTAAATTTAAATATTTTGACATATTAGTCAGTATTTATTTGTTCATTGTAAATCAAATATTTATATCTTATGGCTTTTGTCTTTCGGGTTATCAACATATGGTCATGTCCATTTTATCTAAATCAAATAACAATCCAAGCAATGTCAGACCCTTTTTATTTAGACCAATGTACTGCTTTATTCATGCCATTTCCTTTGCCTGCTACGCCTTCCTGGAAGATTCTTGGAAAAAACTGTTTACTGTTAGGAGGAAAACCTTTTTTTCCTCACTCATGTTGTTAAAGAAACTGTGGACAATGCTCAGATAGTTTATGTGTTTCCATATGTTGTTAACACATTATAAGTAACCGACTTTAGCAGACTCCCAAACAGCCTGCCTCACAATTTTCATTTCACCGGTACATGATGCTACTTGCTTCTGGGTGTTAATTCTGTCAACTCATTAAACTTTTAAGCTAAGAGGAAATACTGTGGGTGGGGCTAAATGTTGCTGTAGCTTTCTTGCCTTCACCTAACATTAGACCTTCCCAAAATAAAAAAAAATACTTAGCACCCACCACAGTGCACAACTGCCCCATGACTATTTTTCCAGTGCAGTTAAATGTTCTAATGAAATACTCAAGTGGCTTTATTTTTTAAATGGTGCTATCTAGCAAACAATGTATGGTATTGTATTTGTTATGTAATCTGATGTGCAGTGTGACAGTTTATCTGAAAGTGGCCTAGTCCATCTCTCTGTCCAGCTGAAGACAGGACTGTCACAGATGTTGCATTATGCATTTTGGGTGTTCAGTAATTTTCACTCTCAGAGCTGATGTTACACATGGCCTGTATTTTTATAGTGCTTTTACTAGTCCCACCTAGGGACCCCAAAGCGCTTTACACACCCAGTCATCCACCCATTCACACACTGGTGGAGGCAAGCTACAGTTGTAGCCACAGCTGCCCTGGGGCAGACATAAGTATTTAAAATCAGTTAATTATGTTTACTCAGTCAAACTATTTATTGGTGTTATTTGGTTATTTAGGCAACTGTATTCATTTAGATATAATGGTTTGTCTCATTATGTAATGCCTATCAGGTTATCACAATAATTATCAGAATATGTACATACCTGTTCCTATTTTTGTTGCTTTTTACATTCTGTATATGACTGAAAATAAATATAATAGAACTATAACTCACCAAAAACCAGTACACTACTTTTTCTTAGCTATTTCTGTTTTGATTTGCTTTAGTCTCTCTGCTTTGAAGACAGTTGCACAATGCAGTGACAGTTATTTAGCATTGCAAGTTTTCAGCCATTCAGTAGGCATGTAGACATGTCAGAGCAGGAAAAGATCTGGCAAAGCAGAACATTGTTCTTCTCAGGTATTTCAGTCTGTGGAAAAACAGAAGACGTGTGCTCATTTTTTTTACCTACTACCAAAAGGGCCACGTGTTCCAGCGGACAAATGGCCTCCTGACTCCAACTTTACTGTGAAAAACATGTTAGTAAATCAGCATGCACAAAACCAGAACCCAGAAGCATCTAAATGGACTTCAATCAGGTTTTTGTTTTGTCTCTGTACTTGTGTGTTTTTCTCTTGTGATGTCAATGTGACATCTGTGAATAAATCCTAGTTTTCCTGGTTGTCTGGCTAAAGCATTCTTTAAGCATATGGTCATAGAAACAGTTGAGCTGCGATACAAAGTGTCACAAATCTTTGGGACATTTGTCAGATCTTCACATTTTATATTATTCAGAATTAATTTGGCAAAGCCTATGCTGGTATATTCACAATCCGAATTATGCTAGGGTATCCTGTAATTGAGTTTTAGGATATTTTAGAAATTAGAAGTTTGGCTGCTAAATACTCAAATATTGACTCTATCTCCACTTTTCTGCTGTTTGGTTTCGGGCTTGTGCAGCATGCACTGAGTCTATAGTGCTAAGAAAATGTTGCTTTGCGAGAAGCCGCTGTGGGACAGCCTTATAACAACTGTGAAATACAATTAAAAGATCCTTAAGATCCATCCTTTAAAAAAATAGAAAAAAAACAAAACAATACCTGGTGCTTCTCACTCATCATGTGCTCCTTCGTCTTCTGTTACTGTCAGCAGTGACTATCGTATCTATCGAGCTATGTTCTTCTGGTCTTTGTCAGGACCTGTTCTGAGTCTCCGCGCTCTTATTAAACTCCTCCACTTATAGAAAGAGAGAGAGAGAGCATGCATTTGAGAGAGACAGACAGAGAGAGAGAGTTAACAAACATTACCATTATTCTGGTCCCACATGATGCTTGTAAATGCACGAGACCACATTTAGTAAGTTGTCAGGAGCACCTGACCTAATGCTCTGATCTCTACAGACTTACAAACTGAATTTAAAAAGTACACACACACACACAGTTAAGTAAATTTAGTGCAATGATACACATAATGCTACTGAACGAGGAAAAGTAGAGGATTGGCTGAATGAATGGAGGAGGGGGTGGCAAAACATCGAGTCATCTCATATCATCAAAGACATCTGACATCACTTTAATGTCAGTTTATTTTCTCCTTCAAGTGAGCAAGTGGGGCAGAGTCAGAAAACAACTGCAACTGGAGTTACTGGGAGGGTGTAGCTGGCTAGATTGATGTGTTCTTTTTTCCATCTAGAGAACAGACTCTTTTCCCTAAAAGGTATGCATGAGCCTTATTTGGCTTGGTTTATACTTGTCTGTGTTTTTCTCTGTGGTTAAAATATTTATCAACAGCACAGATTTAGAAACATGATGTCTGACAGTGTAAACATGTCACGATATAGACTGGAGATCATTAACTGGAATTGTCTCTGCATGTTTAGTGTTATAGTCATTATCTTAAGCCAAATGCACTCAGAAGATTTACGCTGAAACAAACTCCAAACACATGTAAAAAGGAGGGTTTGTATTTTGTTATGTTTTTGTTTTAATCTTTATGCATTTAGAATTAATTTAGGAAGAATGTGGCTGCAACTGATGGTGAGGATATGCAGAAAATGAGGTTGCTATAAATATCAGTGACTCAGGTCAGTCCTGATAAACAGTAATCAGTTATTAGAAACGTAGATGTGCTTGTATTGTACTGTTGGAACTTTAAATGACTGATAATGGAAAGGGCTCTGCATGTAAAATAGAAAGGTATTCTCTTTTTTGTCATTACATGTTTATAAGCAAAGAAAAAGACACACAAATAAGTACTTAATAGAGGTAGACTGGTATTATCAGTTCGAATAATAGCCAAAATTATAGCTATAATAGCTATAATAACATAATATAATAGCTGGTTATTTTTCTTAATAGAAAAACATTATTACAGATGTTTCTCTGGGAAGAAGGAAAAATTCAAAAATATCTTGTTGCAATGGTTGTGGCACCCATGGTTTGATGATAGATTAAGCAAAAGCGCCTCATCAAAATTCAACTAACACACAAGAACGCTTGTTATTCAAAACAATTATTAATCTCTTAATTTTGCAGATACACTTTCGGTTAATTGGTGACTTTAAATAGGCTGTGATTTTAAATGTGACTGTAAGTGTGAATTAATGGTCTCTCTCAGCCACAGTTTTTGTGTTTTTGAGTCAAATTCTTTGCAAAATAAATGAAAATGTAGCAGCAGTATTTTGCATTATATATCAGTGTTACTCGTAATTATGTGTATCTCTGTACTGTGCGCCATCAAAATAACATAATGTTCTCACATCAAACTGTTTTTAGAATAATATTTTATATTTTATTTGCTGTCCTCTGTTTTTCTGCAGCATCCATTCCAACTCTTACTCTGTCAAGATGTCTGGAAACCAAAGCAACACAAGTGAAAACCATTGTATTGTTGACAACAACAGCTTGATCTTCACTCTGGTTCCACCCTACATCCTGGTCATCAGTGTGCTTGGAATCATCTTTAATGTGTTTGTGCTGATGGTTTTCTGCCTCCACAAGAAGGCCTGCACTGTGGCTGAGATATACCTCAGCAACTTGGCTGGAGCTGACCTTGCTCTGGTGTGCTTTTTGCCCTTCTGGGCTGAATATACAAGAAAGGGATTTGACTGGCCTTTCAGTGAAAGCCTGTGCAAAGTGACATCAGCTGTTATCTACATGAATGCGTTCTGCAGTATTTACTTCCTTGTTCTGGTTAGCATAGATCGTTATGTGGCACTGGTGCACCCGCTTTCCCATGAGAGGATACGCAGGCCGTTTTACGCCAAACTGGGATGTCTGTTTGTGTGGGGTCTTGGCTTGGTCTTTGCTCTCCCCGTGTTCATCTACAGGAAGTTAGAATTCAAACCTCAGTCAAATCTTACTCAATGTTCACTTGACTTACCACAAAATCAATATATGGCATCTGAGGTGATAACCATAATTTTCAGCTTCATCATCCCTATTATCATTATTTCCTTCTGCACTGTCAGAATTTTTCAGTCACTGAATAACAGGCTAATGGAGGGTTTAAACTCTAAGAAAATGGAGCAGAAGGCTACCACTCTCATCCTGGCAGTTCTCCTGGCATTCCTGATCTGCTGGGTGCCATTCCACGTGACAAAGATACTAGATGTGCTCCAAAACACTGGCATTCTGAAATGCCACATCACACTGACCATCGTCCAACAGATCTCTACGTACTTTGCCTTCTTCAACAGTGTCCTTAACCCCATTCTCTACGTCATTGCTGGAAATAACTTCAGAAGAAGAACTAAGGAACTCTCCAAGCAGTGGAACAATAAGACTACAGAAACATTCAGCCTCATGTCAACTCGCATAACGACTCTGAGGCTGACAAAGTCTCAAGCTACTCTCTGATCTTTTGAGTTTTGATGTGTGCTTTGGTTATTTTAAATTAACTGGGTAATTATTCACCCAAGCATGAGAAAAAAATTTTTTTAGGCAATCTAAATATATAGGGTTTATTTAACATTGTTCATTACACTGTATCTCCAGAAAGTAGTAGTAAGGTTTGAGTGCCTTGAGGGGTGCTGCTATTTTTTTCCCCTAATTCTATGCACATACAATACCAGGCATTTGGTGGATATCCATATTAAAGAAGCATATTTGAAAGTAACGCACAGTCTCTTGAGCATTTAGAGTCTTGGTTCTGCATAATGTCAGTGAGAGTGATATCCTTGATATTATCATCTCAGGTATACAGCTCTGGCTGTGAGCACAGCAGTCCCAACCACCTACTATTTAAGTCATGCTCAGAATAAAGTTGGCTTAGAGAGAAGAAGCTGCAACAGCAAGAATGAACTAAGAGGCTTCACTAAAAGCCAAGATAAATAAGGATTAACTAGGACTGTTAATCAGGCAAAGTTAGAAGACGCACACATACAGACGCACACACACACACAAATATAATCCACATCTCTTGTTTTACATCAAAAGTTCAAGCAACAAGGGTGGGGTTGCTTTCAAAGCCAAGGATCCGGTATAGCTTCGGTATAACAGGATCTGAGACGCGAATCTGAATCTGCCATTCTACTGCTTTATTTTTTTTTTCAGTTATATTTTATTAGATATGCTTTCAGATCTAATGCAATAATAACACTGCTACATAATTGAATAGCATTACCACATTTATTCTCTATTACATAAGTAATGGACACAAGCTAATATAATGGAACGACTATACAAAGGAGATGAAAGAAGGTTAACAGCGTTAAAAGCATTAACACAAGATTTTAATGGTTAGATGTTCCACACTGTACATGTGAGTGGTTGTGTATTAATATGTCTCTGTGCTGCAACATTATGCGGTTTTACTGCTACCGATTGGAATACTTTAGTGATGAACTGTAAACCACTAAACCTGTTGTGCTGCGCAGTATTACTTACTGTTGTGTATTACATTGTAAAGAATTCCTTTCCTACTCCTGTGACTCCAAAAAGACATTTAACCTACCAATACTGAAGAACTACCTGCACACTGTATTAATCTTTGCATGTATGTAACAGTATATGAAAAACAGCGAATTGTATGCCTCGTACTCAAACTCCGCTTTTAGTGGCAGCTTCTGTGTATGTATTGTGAAACATTTATACAGTGAACTTGCGATATATCACCTTGCTAGATCAGTGTAAATACAAAAACTCAATAATCCTCATTTACTGGCATCTTCTGTAGTCCGCTGTGGTAAATAAATGTCTACACACCAGGGAACTTTAAATTCTAAATCAAAAATAATGTTTTAAATTAAACGCACATCCCCTTTTAAGTTACACTATGTGAGTTATTAGATATTTTATACTTTGGATTAGTTGGTGATTTCAGCTTGGCAGTTGTGGTGAATGTGGGTCTTAATGTAAATCTGTGTTGGCCCAGTCCAGTGTGGATTCCCCGTATGACAGCTGGGATAGACTCCAGTCCTCATATGTCCCAGAACTAGATGAATGGTTAAAAGAATAGATGGATGGCTATGGTTCTCAGCACCTCTGATAAGCCTTTATTTGGTAAGCTGTGATTGATTAAACTACAAAGGATTAACAAACTCCAGGCGTACCTGTCCACTCAGTGGCAGGCTTTGAACTGTCAACAGGCAGCTGTTACAATGTAAACAGCAGGCAGATCTCTGTCAGTATCGGATTTATCTCATGGACATATTGGCACATCCCAGTAAATTTAACAGAATACACTGAACCACACGGGGACTATTGAAATAACATGATATAAATATTAATTTTCTTAAAAGTTCTGTCCATGTAAATGTTACTTTTTTGGGGATTAAACATGAACATAAAATAATGGTTTCATTTGAGAGAAAATTGCATGTGTCAAAGTGGAGTATTTTCTGTTTGTTTAGTGTAAATGTCTTCATATCGCTATGATACAGAATAAAGGAAGTGATTTTGGGTTGAGCTCTAGTACTCTATTAATCTATTAATCTCTATTAATCTAATACTATTTTCCTTCTGTCACTGGAGTCTCCCTTTCCAGCTAGCTTCCCCTGTTGCAACTGTGTCCTACAAAAACCCATTCATTCCCGTTTTCTCTCCCCCTTTATATAGATGGGCTCAAATCATCACCAATCAACCACTCCCTGCAGTAATCTCCAAATGGCTGAATGCTTGACTAGAGGGGAATCTCCACTCCCACATAGGTATGGCCTATAGCTCACCCGAAAACACAAAATTATGCAATAATTGAAATGGAAAATAATGCCAACCCAATGTTTAGTGAGAGATTCTCTCAATTATTCCACCAACTGATAACAATAGTATTTTCATTCTGAGCTTAATCAAACAGTTCAAACGCCTTTTCAGATGTTATGTTCACAGAAGGCCCGAGTCTATAAAGGTCCATAAAACAATACCTGAACCAACACCATAAAAATGAACCATGCAAAGAGACAAAGTGCTACTTGAAGTGGAAAAAACAAAGACTGCATTGACTGAAAAGCAGAAGAGCTGGCTAAAGAGTGAGTCATTATATATTAGTTTAAATTCAGTTTACTTTCTCTTTTAAGTAAGAAAAACACAGCTATTTAGTAGGAATTCGTTTGGCCTTTTTTTCCACCTGGAGAACAGATTCTTTTGCCTGCAAGCCAAACTTAATTTTGGTTGTTTTTTAATCCTTCATGTTTCTGCCTTTCTGCTCTGCAAAGGGGATTAACAAGTCAACACTAACAGGGTTTTTCAGCTTTTTGCCATTACTTGTTCAAAACTTTAAAAACACCCTTCAATTAACTTACACGCTGTGCAAATTAAGAAACTTGCACAGCGCGATGGGTGTGGCCCTGTCAGCTGCTGGTCACGCCTAGGTTCTCACACACCTACTTCTGATCAAGCTCGTCGGGGGCAGCTACTTAACAGAGCGATGGAGCTTTCTCCAGCGCAGGATTTGTTAGTCCAGGAAGTACAGATCGTGTTTGCCCGCAGGGGTCAGTGTCTAACGGCTGCTTCCATTGTTTTCCCTGCAGGAGGAGCGTGGAGAAGAAGGACAGCACAGCACGCACAGGGTGTGCAGAGTCACCGGGGAGCACGAACACGGACGCCACTGGAAGACGCACACGGGAGTCTTGGGGAGCGCGGGGATTAGTTTGGCATCAGTATTTACCACACTGTAAATAAACGCACTGTACACACAGACCTCTGCCCCTGGGTCCTCCTTTCCCTCACAACCCCAGACCATGACAATAATGTGCATAAAAGCACTCATCTGAGGTTTGTTTTTAAATGCTTGATATCTATTGAAGCCAGTATTATATTGAATCAGAATCTGGCATTAATCTAAGACACTAAGACATTTCGGTGTTCGGACCGGTCTGAGGAAAGACGAGAAACTCTTTTAAAGCTGAATCGCTGCGGTCGGGATTTAATGAGGTGCAGTGCCAGTTTTACGATGGAAGGTGTGGTCACAGCAGGTATTCTGGTGGCTTACCTTATTGGTGAAGTATTTGTAGGAGTGTTTTCTTTACGGGTTAAAAAAAAAAACTTTCGGAGGAGAATATTTAAAAGAAGCATGCAAACCTGATTTGCTAGATTTCCTGGATACTAAATGTAACTTTGAAAAAAAAACACCTCTTACTGTTGATTATGGAGCTGAAGTGTTCATTTATTTGGAATAAGATCAGGAAATATTATCAGCGTACGTAACTGTGACGGATGGATCCCTCTAAGCTGTGAGCGCGGGGACAAAACTTTTGCTCTGTTCTGTAAGTCTCGACGGAATCCCAACCTTGCGTTTTTAGAGGTGGGTACTTCCTGCTCTTAAGTAGTAATACTAGAATTTTATTAAAAACCGGCTCTGTTTTTTTTTTTTTCTCAGCACCACACAGGGATTTTTATGTCGTTGTTTTTTGTTTGTTTTTTTCTGGCTATGAGAGACAAGCATATCATATTTATAACTGTAGCTGTGATGTCATTATGTTAGCGCGTCGGGTTACTGTCTGAATAATATGGGTAATTTAGGCTATAATAGGTTTCTGCAACCTCACAGCTCGTAGAATAAGCAGTGGAATAATATGGACTACAATACACTACAATAATATGCTCATGTTCAGATGATGGAGTAGTTTGGAATAAACTCACCGCTGGATAAATCTGTGCTGCACCTGAGTCTCAGTCCTCAGAATCTCACAAGTTTCTAAGAAGAGTTCATCCTTAGACAAAACCATATTTCTCTTCTTGCTCTCATTTACCTTAACTGCTAGACTGTTTTCATAGAGAAACAGGTTTAAAACCTGCACTTACACTGTAATATTTCTTTCAGGACTTCATTGACACCTCTACTTTAACTCATCGGGCGTGCTTGTTTTTGAGTCTCTGCTCTTGGTAGGTAATTACTGAAATTAACTGACAACATCTTTGTATATAAATTAAGGCACTGTTATGGGAGATCACCCCAACAACCTTTCACTCACATGGGTACATTTTTGCAACTGTACCATCATCATGTCACTTGCCCCTGCGGATTTTAGTCTTAAAGTCGACACTGTTCCTTTTTTAGTAAACCCCCACAGTAGCTTTTAATGCCAAAAGACAGTTTTATAGATTAAATCTACCCCTAAATATAACGATGACAGCTTTGACCACTCACTTTGTCTTTATTAACTTCCATGCATGCACAGTAAATCCAGCATGTCCAAATTAACACTGTCGGATTTGATTTCAACACTATTAAAGTGTCTATATGGGTCCACACCAGAGAGTGTTAATTTAACTCTTTTTGGAGAGTTGGTACGTTAACTCTGATTTAGTGTTAAACACCAAATCTGTCTGGAGTTGATAATTTAACACTTGGTGTTAAGAGTTTATATATTAACTCTCAAAGAGTATTTTAGTTTAACTACGTAAGAGTTATCTTCTAATTCATTCTAAAAAGCGGGAATTTTACTGTTCTGAACTTCTAGAAATTTCTTTTGGAAATAAACATTTACTAAAAAGATGCAATGGTTTTTGAAAAACATTTATTCTGAACTGTGCACCACAATTTCAAAACATTTTCTGAAAGATGTAACAGTATACATGTTCTCACTTTCATTAGAATTTTGTTTATCAAAAGGTCTGACATGGTAAATGCAAATAACAGCATTCTCATCACTTATTTCTTGAATACAATATGCATGTCCTTCATTCATCCCTTTGTGGAACTTCAACGCACTTCTGCTCTCCCCCATATTCCATCTTCACAGGCATATCCTGTGTGGAGATCGAATAAAAATTAGTTGACAGTAATTAATGGCACAAATAATCCAGTAAACAATTGCAGCACAGTTAAAAAAAAAAAGGAATCCTCTTTGAGCCATTACTTGTGTAAAGTATTTTCCCAAAAAACAAGGACACAGGCAACAGGTATACTGAACTAAATGTAAAACCTCAACTTTTTTCATTTTTACCTAAACCGTGTGCACAAAACTCTGGAGGGATCTATGCTAACGTAGAATCCAGTCAGGACGTCTGCTACTGCTGTTTGCTCGTTTTTTTTAGTTTTTTTTTTTTATGGGCGATCGGTTTCAGGCCTCAATTAGCACCATTATACCAACATTTCACATTCTAGACATTGTTTTAGGTGTATTTGACCAAAAGTTTGACTGAAAATTCACATGCAAGCTTTTTTTCAAGGCTGTGGTATTTGCCCGCAAACAATACCTTTCAGCTAGCTAAAACAGAATATTATGCTATCAGCGAGCAACATGGCTAATGCCTTTCACACAGCTTTGTCTCAACTCCAAAGAGCCACAGAAGTAAAAGCTCATAATAATTGAAACAATCTTTGAAAAAATGACTTACCAAGCATGGCAAACAACTCGTAGAGCAAAATGTTCTGAAACGGCTTCACTTCAGCTTCGATTGGAGCCGTGCTGGGGGCGGAGTCTGTGAATTTACTCTGTTGGTGTCATAGCCCCTCTAGGAGTTCAGAGTTAAGAGGTCAAGAGTTAATGTTTCCATTGTAACACCTCCAGATTTGACAGAGAAACACTCATTTTTAACACTCGATTTTAACTACTATCATTTTACACCTCAGAGTTACATTAAAAGAATGTGACTCTGCTTAGAGTAAAATTAACTCTACTTTTGCAAGGAGACTATTAACACCAAAAAATTTAACACTTTTGAATTTGCTGTGTGGAATACTTTAAGTGTGGATATTTTTTTTCCTCTTTTGAAAGAAAAAAGGAAAAGAAAAATAATTGTGAAAGTTAGCCTACAATAATGTTTTATCTGTACTCTGTTCTCTATTTTCTGCAGTATCCCTGTCAACCTCATCCCTGTAACGATGTCTGGAAACCAAAACAATACAAATTGTACTAATCTTGAGCCAAATAGTTTGATCTTCACTCTGGGTTCATACTACATCCTGGCCATCAGTGTGCTTGGAATCATCTTTAATGCGTTTGTGCTGATGGTTTTCTGCCTCCACAAGAAAGCCTGCACAGTAGCTGAGATCTACTTGAGCAACTTGGCTGGAGCTGACTTTGTTCTGGTGTGCTGTTTGCCCTTCTGGGCTGACTATGTAGGAAAGGGCTTTAATTGGGCTTTCAGTGAGAGCCTGTGCAAAGTGATACCTGCCATAATAAAAATGAATGCACTCTGCAGCATTTACTTCCTTGTTCTGGTTAGCATAGATCGCTATGTGGGGCTGGTGCACCCACTGTCCCATCACAGCATGTGTAGGACATTTTATGCCAAGCTGGCATGTGTAGTTGTGTGGATTCTTGGCGTTATCTTTGCACTCCCCGTATTAATCTACAGGAAGTTAATCCCCAGTACATCAAATATTACTGCATGTGGCATTCTCTTCACTGAAGACCAACATCTAGTATATGAGACAATAACCATAATCTTCAGCTTCGTAATCCCTGTTTCCATTATTTCCCTCTGCGCTGTCAAGATTATTCAAGCACTGAGAAACAGGCTAAAGGGGCATGGGAAGGAGCAGAAAGCCACCACTCTCATCCTGGTAGTTCTTCTGGCATTCCAAATTTGTTGGGGTCCATTCCAGTTGAGCAGGATACTAGATGTGCTTGAACGTGTTGGTATTGTGAGGTGTCACACCATACTTGACATCTACAAACAAATTACTGTGTACTTAGCTTTTTTCAACAGTGTCCTTAACCCCATTCTCTATGTTGCCATTGGGAGAAACTTCCAGAAAAGAGCAAAGGAATTCTTAATGCCACAGAAATACAAGAAAACAAGAAGATCAAGCACACGCTCCTCATGAGCACACCCCACAAGTGTTAAATCTGGAAATGGCTTAAGATAAGCAGGATTGTGACCTTTTGAGTTTTGAGGTGTGCTGCTGTGATTGGTGATTTTATACAATGACAATTATTTATCCAGGCATAAGAACTTTTTTTCTTTTTTCTCTTTTTTTAGCATTTATGTAATGTGAATATATGGGGTTTAATTGTCTATGAAACATTGCTTCTTCAAAAAGTGATATACAGGCATAACATATTTGTTACTTAAATGTGATATATATTTCTGTTTTATAGTGATTTTTGTTCCAATACAATATGAATAACATTTACACTGGCGGATGCTCATATTAAATAAGAACAAAAATATAATATAACAACACAAAATCATATGAAGGACTTGAACAAGGCCAAGTATAAGAGCAGAGAGATGGTAGTGAACTGGTTTTGAATAGGGCAAAAGTTACGCAGTTTTTCTTGCAGGTACCACATTATGTGTTTTTCTTATTTTCTGTCATGTATTTATATTCTTACAGTGGTGGATGCTCATGTTAAACTTAATGTTATCAGTTATCACAGATTACATAGTTTACATTAAACATGATTCATATCTTGAAGTCAGAATATATGCAAGTCTTTTCTTATGTTTATCCATTTTTTCAAATTTCAGTTCAGGATTATTATGTTAAAGCTATTCATTGGCATCCTCCAAATATTCAGTTCGGAGTACCGCTGCTGTACAAGGTGAATGACCTGGTGTATCTCTCTCTCTCTATATATATATATATATATAAGCCCACTAACAGTCCAGAGACATGCTGTTGGTGGGCTTGAATTTGAGTGCGAATGGTTGTCTGTCTCTATGTGTTAGCCCTGCGACAGACTGGCGACCTGTGCAGGGTGTACACTGCTTCTCGCCTTAAGACAACTGGAATAGGCTCCAGCCCCCTGCGACCCTGAAAAGGGTAAGAGGAAGAGAATGGATGGATGTTTATTTGTCACGGTTCAGGGTCATTTGACCCAGCATTTTCAGTTTCGCATATTTTTCTGTATTATGGTTTGTATTCTGACTCTCTTGTTATGCTTTGTTGATTATTATTATAATTCTATGTTTCAGTTTATTCCGGTTTAGAGTTAAGTTCTTAGGTTATGTTCTTGTGCCCTCATGTTTAGCGTAGGTTTAGTTCATTGTCAAGTCTGTGTCTTTGTGAATTGTTTCTTGTTTCCTGTTTTACTTTGAAGGTCCATGTCTTATGTAAGTGTATTCAGTGCTTCCTCCCGTCTCGTCAGGCTCATCAGGTCCAGCTGTGTTCCCCACCTGTATGTAATCTCCCTGTTTTCTTCAGTGTGTATTTAAGTTGTGTCAACTCATGTACTCACTGGTCGGCCTGTGTATAAACCGTGTGTTCTCCCTGCTGGCCTTCTTTCATGTTCAGGTTTGCTGTTTAGATTTCCCCATTATAGATTATCTTTAGTTCCGTTTCACCATTTTCACCTTGTGTTTTCTTTTCCAATAAACCTCTTTCGCGTCTCAGCGAGTGCCTGCTCTTGTGTCCTCATTTATTCCCCCACACGACTCACCCTGGTTAGCCGTGACAGTATTATTATTATTGTTATCAACAGTAGTTAGTTGTACTAATAAAAATACAAACCGGATTCCAAAAAAGTTGGGACACTAAACAAATTGTGAATAAAAACTGAATGCAATGATGTGGAGATGGCAAATGTCAATATTTTATTCAGAATAGAACGTAGATGACAGATCAAAAGTTTAATCTGAGATCATTTCAAAGGAAAAATATGTTGATTCAAAATTACACGGTGTCAACAAATCCCAAAAAAGTTGGGACAAGTAGCAATAAGAGGCTGGAAAAAGTACATTTGAGCATAACGAAGAGCTGGAAGAACAATTAACACTAATTAGGTTAATTGGCAACATGATTGGGTATAAAAAGAGCTTCTGAGAGTGGCAGTGTCTCTCAGAAGCCAAGATGGGTAGAGGATCACCAATTCCCACAATGTTGTGCAGAAAGATAGTGGAGCAATAAAGGTGTTACCCAGCGAAAGATTGCACAGACTTTGCAGTTATCATCATCAACTGTGCATAACATCATCCGAAGATTCAGAGAATCTGGAACAATCTCTGTGCGTAAGGCTCAAGGGCGTAAACCCATACTGGATGCCCGTGATCTCCGGGCCCTTAAAGGACACTGCACCACAAACAGGAATGCTACTGTAAAGGAAGTCACAGAATGGGCTCAGGAATACTTCCAGAAACCATTGTCAGTGAACACAATCCACCGTGCCATCCGCCATTGCCAGCTGAAACTCTACAGTGCAAAGAAGAAGCCATTTCTAAGCAAGATCCACAAGCTCAGGCGTTTTCACTGGGCCAGGGATCATTTAAAATGGAGTGTGGCAAAATGGAAGACTGTTCTGTGGTCAGACGAGTCACGATTCAAAGTTCTTTTTGGAAATGTGGGACGCCATGTCATCCGGACCAAAGAGGACAAGAACAACCCAAGTTGTTATCAACGCTCAGTTCAGAAGCCTGCATCTCTGATGGTATGGGGTTGCATGAGTGCGTGTGGCATGGGCAGCTTGCATGTCTGGAAAGGCACCAGCAATGCAGAAAAATATATTCAGGTTCTAGAACAACATATGCTCAAATCCAGACGTCATCTCTTTCAGGGAAGACCCTGCATTTTTCAACAAGATAATGCCAGACCACATTCTGCATCAATCACAACATCATGGCTGCGTAGGAGAAGGATCTGGGTACTGAAATGGCCAGTCTGCAGTCCAGATCTTTCACCTATAGAGAACATTTGGCGCATCATAAAGAGGAAGGTGCGACAAAGAAGGCCCAAGACGATTGAACAGTTAAAGGCCTGTATTAGACAAGAATGGGAGAGCATTCCTATTTCTAAACTTGAGGTCTCCTCTGTCCCCAGATGTCTATTGAGTGTTGTAAGAAGAAGGGGAGATGCCACACAGTGGTGAAAATGGCCTTGTCCCAACTTTTTTGGGATTTGTTGACACCATGACATTTTGAATCACCATATTTTTCCCTTAAAATTATAAATTTTCTCAGTTTCAACTTTTGTTCCATGATTTATGTTCTATTCTGAATAAAATATTGACATTTGCCATCTCCACATCGTTGCATTCAGTTTTTATTCACAATTTGTTTAGTGTCCCAACTTTTTTGGAATCCGGTTTGTAGTAGTGTTGTAGTTACTATTTATCATTTTATCAATGTATCTATTTTTCTTCATCATTCACAATTCTTGACCCCGGAGGGATCTAAATTAAATGCACTCATACAGCAAATCCCCTCAAGTATGACACATCTCACATTTCCTATTGTTTTTCATCAAATAAGGCAAAGGAAGATGATGTAAGCATTACAGAAAATATAAACACTTACCACATTATTTTTTCATTCTTTATCATAAATCAGCTAAATTATATTGCGTCTCTCTCTCTCTCTCACGCCCTTGTGGTCTCTTCCAAAGAAAAACTTGCCAAAATGTTGGATTCTTGCTTAGTGTATTTACAAGCATCCTCGGCAAATAGGATGTTGTTTTAGTTTTTGGAACGTAGGACTGACAACAGCTGTCAGTCCTATATATAGTAGAAGGATACAGATCCAAATAAAAACATTATGGAGACAGGTTCTGGCCTCTCGAGTGGCTGGTGATAACAAGGCAGGGCAGAACATCCACATCTGGATTGGCACCTTTCAGGTGATTGAGGAGTGAGCTGGTAACAAAGGTTGCAGGATCTCTCTGGGGGCTGGACAGGTGGCCAGAGACAGTATCTTGACAGATGGCTGCTCAGGTCCATGTGGATACACTTGAGTCTGATAGCTGGGACTGCACGAGTTTGAGTTCAGAATTTACACATGATTAACAAGACTGTGATACTCTGGTTCAGCTGTTGTCGATCCTACGTCCAAAAAGTAACAACAACCTCCTATGTGCTGAGGTTGCTTGTAAATACATTAAGCAAGAATACAACATTTTGGTTTGATGACAGACAGTTTTCTTTGGAAGAGCCCACAAGGGCATGACAAATATTTACGTATTTCTGAAGACATTTCTTTAGAAAAATAGAGGAATTAACTACACAGAGGAAGCGATGACGCAGAGAAGATGCATATTTTGTCTAAAATTATTTTGATATCAGTTTTTTCTTTTAAGTTAAGTAAACAAAGACATTAGTAAGAGGTACTAGAAAAGTGTACCTGATGGTTTTATGTTGTCTTTTTCTAGAGACAGAATCTTTTGCCAGCAAAGTATGCACATGTTTAATTTGGCTTGGTTTTCTTTTTTTTTTACTTTTCTGTTTTAACTTTGTTCTGCTCCTTTTGTTTCTGTTTTTCCACATTATTTGTGACTGAATTGCTGAATAATTCTAAAAACATAAAGGGAAAATTCTTCAGTTAACCTGCCAGCTTTACAAGTTTTGAAAACCAGCATCTAAACTGGAGATTATTAATTAAACTATTTATGTTTTGATAAACAGTTTTAGAACATTTATGCTAAAGCAAACACATATAATTAAAACAAAATTAAAAAAAGTTGCATTAGAATACAAGGAGCTGTGAAAATGATGATATGCAGTGTTTGTGCTGTGAACATCAGTGACTCAAGAGACTTTTTTGGTGAATGTAATACTCAAGGAAAACCTTTATTTGATAAACATTTTCACAAAATTACTAAATAACAATATAAACCTATATGCACCAAAGCAAATTACTATCCTAATAAGAACACAAATACAGTCTCTTTGTTTTTTGAGTTGACAACACAAGGCAAAGATGAAAACCAACCCGAAGAGACTAAAGCAATCGCCACGGTGATTCTATTTTAGAAACATGCACAAGTAGAAATGGAGTCTTCAAATCTGACCACTAAAAACTGCTTTTGTTGCCTGATGAAGATCAGGCTTTGCCTGCTGGGATTGCGTCTGCATACATTCAGCTATAAAACCCCTCTGGGTGCATGCTGTCTCTGCAGATGCTTAAAGTTCTGTCAGCTGTGTAATCAGAATCAGAATACTTCACTAAGGAAATTATGTGTTTACAGTGAGACAATAGACAATAAGAACAGTAACAGACTAAACTAGATTAAATAATGCAATATATTACAAAGTTTACAAAATATATGAATTAGCTCTAATATATACAAAGAGCTCAATCATAAATATAAAATATATGACAGAGATGAAATATATATGACTGACATTTTACTCCAAACTTTGTTATTTTCACTGTAGGATGTGAAAAAGGGTGTCATGACCCAAGCAGCCAGGAACACACAGGGACAAATGTAATCTTCAAAAAAATGGGTTTTATTATACCCCCAAAAAGGACAAGATGATTACAAAAATTCAAAATAACAAACAAAGTTTTTAAGAACCAAGTGGGCCCATAAAAGAGGTTACCTTAACAGAACGCTACTCAAAAGTCACTTAAAAACATAACTCAACAAACTGACCTGCCCAAATGAGAAACAGCTCCAGTTATATAGCAAATGAATAAACCATTATATACACCAAAAGTGAAAACTAAAGAGATAACAGCTAACCATCATTCACGAAGAACCCCATTCCCCCTGCATGATCACAATAGATGGTCCAGTCCACTTTATTGGCTTCTGCATTTAAACCAGCTCCACCCTCAGCCTCCTCTTTCAGCCAAACCAGGAAGGACTGGAGCAGAGGTCAGGTAACTCAGAAAGAGCAGAAATATAATCAATATAACATACCTATATAAAATAACAAACAATGCAAAGCAAAGTCTATGCCACCATTTGGGCTATAGCTTAGTGCTGTCATGCATTACAGGAAAACTCAAAATATCAAATTAGTTAACTTATGATCACAGAAGCTTTAGAGTATAACGTAAACATAAGACAAAAGACCAAATGAATATTACCTAAGTATCTCAATTGTGTGGTTGCATGCAGCCATCACAAAGGGTGTAACTATTGCATTGTGTACTGTGCATTAGATGGATCAGTTGTACAGGCAGGAGTGATTTCCTGTGTTGTTCAGTGATGCATTTGGGTAATCTCA